GGTTGCATCATTCGCTGTGGCATCCCATGAGCAGCGGCGGGATGAGGTGCGCCATTCGCTTTTCCTAAAAGCAGAGGTTAGGCCCTAAAACGCCGTGCTTACCGTTCGGCATTGGTGGTGGGTAAGTTCCGGCGCTGTTCGGGCCCGATGGCATGGAATACTGGGGGTAAGGGGACGGGTAGACGCCGGCAGATTGAGGACCAGTCGGCATCATGCCTGAAATGATATTTATCAAGCCTCCAACCAAAACCCACCATTCGTATTCGGCGGCGGGTACATTGGTGATTTTTCGGGAGCGGGCGCTGGGGGCACGGATGTTTGAGACTCGCTGGTAGAAGGGGCACCGTTGCTGCTCCCGGCTCCCATCAGCTTCTCCCATTCCTCCCTGAAAATGGGCGTTAAACTGATTTCTTGAAAAATCATGGAACAGGGAGGAGGTTCTTTCGCATTAGCGCGGGGGGCGGGTCTGGGGAAATAGAATTTTGTGTATTAGTCCAGAAACGCGTAACACAAAGCGCAATCTTAGGACTCCACAAAACTACCTCAAAAAATTAAAACAATTTTTTAACTTGATCTTTTTTGGCGAAAACCAATTTTTTTTCTTGTTTTTGAACATAAATTTTTACGCATAGAATAGTAAAAACAGTTTTGAAACACTTCATCCATTTATATCAATAAAAAAATTAATCCGAAGGAAAAAGGCCCCCCACGCTAATGCGAAAGCTACCAAGAAGACAATTAGAACAAAAGCGCTCACTTTCCGGCGCTCGGCGCCATCAGTTGCGGTTCGGGGTTCGGCCGGGACAACGGGGCCAACATCGGATTGGTGAAGCTTTTCTCGATTTCCTCCAATGTCTGCATCTTTGCGTTTCGCTCTTTTTCGGCGTCCCTAAAAAATTTCCTTGATTCAGTGGTTTTCGCAGTATTTTTAGGAGAATTTTATTTCCGATCACGATAAATTAAAAATTCTCTAAAATTTACTAAGAATTAGATGCTTAAAGCCCAATAACTACCTGGTCTTATCCATACTCCCCGCCGAGCTGACCACAGTATTCATACCATTGTCGAAAAGCGGAATATTCGTCATTCGTTCCATTTTTCTAAAAGAAAAAAGTTGTTATGGGCAAAAAAGCACACCTTAGCGGGTTGTCGTCCAGTTTCTCATCCAGAGCGCTGCCCGCGCACAGGTCGTTGTAAATTTCTTTGATCGCCGGATTATCGTGCTGTGGGATGGGCGTCTTGAAAAGGAATTCGTCGCTAGCGTTGTGCATGGGGAAGCTGTTGGGCTTCGGCTGCTTCGGTTGGGAAGATGAAGAAGGCTCTACCGAGTTCTAAATTGAAACTTTGTAAATGCAGGCAAAAATTTTGGAAAGCCTTTCAAAAAACTTACGGGCTGCGCATTCCGTTTCCGGCTGGCCGGTTTCTGCTTTGGGGGAGGATAGGGTGGTCGCATGGTCATGGCCCCGTCCTGGAATACTTGAAAGTTGCGATTATCAACATCGACATTACCGGTTTCGCGGCCTGGTGCCAGGAGACGACACTGTCGAACTGCCTGCTATCCACCGCCCGCGCCGCATCGTTCGCCATCGCGCTTCTGAAATCGATAATCGGGAACCCTTACTGATAAGCCGGACACAGGTACGACAGTTTCCAGCTAAAAGGTCAAGCAAAATCTAGGGCGGCTAGAAAATGGCAGTCGTTTTTTGGATGGCGTTAAAATAGTGAAAAATGAAAAAGAAATTTTGGGTACTAAATTTTTGCTAGAAACAGCGATTTACAGCTAACAAAAAAAAATCAAGGAAATACGTACGTGAAGACATATTTGATCGGCGGTTGCTTGCCATCGTTGCTGGCTTGATCTTGGGGGCTGACGGCCCATTGGTTGGAGGGGACCGACGTTGCTTGGGCGGGGAAGGGTGGCGTAACGCGAAGAATGGGTTCAGGTCGGGCTGCAACGGGTATATAAAATCAGAAGCTTGGCGATTGGCTCATTTAAAAACCCCCTTTATTAATTAAAAAACGTTATAACGGCATTCTTAATTTGGCAGCGAAAAAGGATGAGTGGTGGGCTTTTAAAGCGTCCTGATAACCGCTGCGAGTTACATTCCGAATTCTGGCACCAAATTAGCGCATTTTTCCAAAACAAAAAAAAAACGGATTTTGAGAGTTTAGTTTCCATGCTGGCCATCTAGGCTTACGCACCATTTTCAACACACTATGATTTTGTCCAGAAACGTTTCCCATGGTTTCTTCAGTTAAAAAACACTAACTTATCTAGACTGAAGGAATGCGGGTGAAAAAAAGCGATTTTAGGACCATAACGCAAACCAGTAATAAATAATTTTTAAAAAAAAATAAAAAAAAAAAAAAAAAAAAAAAAAAAAAAGGAGAAAAAAAAAAAAAAAAAAATAAAAAAAAAAAAAAAAATAAAAAAAATGGAAAATTTTTAAAAAAAAAAATTTCCAATTTCGAGGGTGTATTTTCCAAGTTTCGCTGCAAACAAACTGACCCTGAACTCGCCGGAGGAGCTCGGCGTGATGGAGCTGGGCGTGTTAGACATTAGGTGGTTACGCTGCGCTGCATATGTCTGAAATTGGCGATTATCGTTCAGTAGATAATAAAAATGAGGGCGTAAACGGAATCGGAAACGGAACAGGAAGCGAGCGGCGGGGTAGGTGGTAAAGGACCCTGCTTCAAACCACTGCAAAGGAGGCAGAGGGGGATAGATGGTCTAGCGGGGGATACGGTCAAGAGGTCGCGCTGCTAGCGACATGGGACACCTGCAAAAATGTCTCATTTCCGGCGGTGCCGAAAATCGTGGAAATTACAGAGAAATTGAACGAAAGGTACCGAAAATAGGTAGTTTTAGAAAGCTTTAATTCTCTAAAATAGAAAGATATAAAAATAGTTCGTTGTAGATAGCTTTAATTATCTAAAATCGAAATGTATCAAAAATAGGTTATTTTAGAAAGTTTTAATTATCTAAGACCGAAGGTGCCAAAAATAGTCTATTTTAGAAAGTGTCATTTATCCAAAAGAATTGCAAAGTTCCCCGGGTTCGTCCGCTACCTTTGAAAAGCCCCTTTGTTAACAATAAAAATTAATAAATCAAATAAAAATACATTTTAATTAGTAATAGCCAGTTTTCAGGGCATACCTTGTAGATTAATTCCGTTATTTTAGCGTCCGAATACTTATAATTAGCGCATTACTCTAACCTTCCAAAAGTCGCCGGATCAGCCGCCTTCAAAACACCTAAATTAGCATCTGAAAGGCTGAATTTACGCTAGAATAAAAACGAAACCAGCCATTTTCCCAGGAAAAATCTATCGCCTACAACTCATATCGCCCGAGATGGCACGCCGCAAAAAGAAGCAGGAAGATGTGGGCCGTTTTTCTAGCGTGTTAATCGTCCAGTTTAGTGCTTCATCCCCTCGAAGCTGTCGATCAGCCTGAGCGAGACTGCTCGGCGCAGCCTGCAGCCGGAAGTCTTCGAGAATGTCGACGTGAGAATTGTTTGCCAGTTCGGTTCTGGTTCATTAGTGGGGGGTACCTAACCTGGATTATTCAGCCTAGCCCATTAATAAGAAGATACATAATTCTTATAGTATTTTTAGTAATTTCCGATTACGAAAAAGCTACTCTAGCATTTTTAGAAAAATTTCCATTTGTTTCCATACATTTGGTACAAAAAGTCAGCATTTTTTCGACGATTTTGGTACCTTTTAAGATCTTCTATAAAACGAGAGTAAAGTGCTATTAAAATGGAGCAGGAACTGGTTTAAATTACCTCCCCTCCCCCTGGTAATGAACCAGCACCCTGTATTCAGCCGTCCTCCGGAGCCACAACCACTGCAGCTCCAAGCGAGCCCGCTCTGCCCCCGCTGGCTTGCGGCGGGAACCGTTTGTGGCAATATGACGGCGATATTTTGGTAAGGTATACGCGATTCCGGGAGATTACTTTGTAGGAACAATACACGGTCAGCTCGGGGACTGGCGACTACGAGTCGCTGGTGAACAAATCGACGACCACAAAATCCGCCGATCGTGAGGAAGTGACGATGGCTGAGGTTTTTTTATCAATTAATAGACTTGATTTTCTGGGATTTAGGTGAAATCCGTTCGAATGGAATACGAGGCGATGGGAGGCGGATTGGGACCCCCGGTATGGTTTTACCAGGCTTTTTATGACGTTCGAATTATACAAATTTCCTGAATTAAACCGCTTAAAGAGTGGCTAAGTGGCCAAAAGCGCCAACTTCATGATGTATTTTAGGCGGCGTTTGTTGAGGAACACGAATTCATCGAGGCGATGGACGCCAAGGTGCCGGAGGGATCCTGTGAGATGGTATCTCGCCCCGAAAGCAATCACCTAAAACAATTTCTAGCGTAAACTTTCTTTGATCGGGGCCGAGGAGCAGAACTTCATCACAAAGGTGTTTCGCGAAAACTTTCGAAAACCGTTTTTTTGCCAGTTAATGGACGAGACGATGCGCAAGTTCGGCAGGGCGGGCAGATCGGACCTGCAGCTACAGGTAGCGAAATCCCCCAAGTTGTGGTGTTAACGACGATGTTTTTAGTTCTCGGTGACGAAAACGGGAGGCATTCCGTGCTTGCAGATGAGTGCCGTGAAGCGCCAGAATTAGAATTAAGAGGACGACGGCGGATACGATTGACCCTCGATTTACGCATTAATAAATTTGGTTATTGCACTTGACGAGCATGCCGAAGTCTCTGTAGCTGAATCTTGTAGAAGCTGAAGCCGGTGTCTAGCCGTTACATTGTGCATTTCATACAGTGTATAATATACAAAAAAAACCATCAACGGATTTATTCAATTAATTAAGAAAAGATTATTCTTTCTTTCACATCAAGCAAGTTTTTGGAGCAGCTTGTAGAACTTCTGGCGGAACGCGGCATGCTTATCACCCGATTTTGCCTGAAAAAGCGCTCATCTTTCGTCCGCCTGGATTTCCCACCTTGATGTAGTCGAGCACGGTGCTGTAGATGAACAGATACTGCGGCGCAGTCTGGACGGCACCGGCACGGCAATTCCGCACCTCCTTGAAGACGTCGAGCGTCATGACCTCTTTGCCCTTCAAGAGCCGCGTGGCGATCATGTCGATGGCGATGAGAGTGCCAGTACGACCGATTCCGGCTGAACAGTGGACTACCGTAGTTCCCGAGCCGCTTTCCTAAAAAAATGGATAGTTAGAAATAGCATATACTTGTTCATCTACCTTCATCAACCGCAAAATGCTAATGGCGGAGTGACCGGAAGAGGCGGCGCTCTGATCGGCCCATCCTGGGCAGTGGATCAGCTTGATGACGTTCGAGTTCGAGCACCCATCGGGCAGCACTTCTAGCGTGTAGATGGTCAGGCCCTTCGATTTCGGGTCGGTTTCGACCTTCTTGTTGTTGACGAACATTTTGCCGTAGTTCTTGAAGTCGGCCACTTTCGCTGGCCAGTACTCGTTGAAGCCACTGCCGTTCGCTTCGGCAGCTAGGCCCAGACAGATGATGCTGGTGGCATTCTCCTGAAAATGGGGATGTCTGTCTCGCTCTCTCTCTCTCTCTCTCGTTACCTGAAACGTCATCCTCCAAAAGTCTTCGATAGTGCCTGGCAGTGGCCCTTGAGTGGCGATGTATTTCCGCTCCAGATCGTCGGCCATCACCCAGTTTGCGTGGATATAATCGCCGTCAGCCGATGTGTAATTGCCATAGTCATTTCGGAGAACGACACGTGTCGAGTCGAGACAAAGCACGTCCTAGAGAACCGTCTTCAAAAAGAATCATCGTAAATTCCCACCTTGAATCTGTTCTTCTCCGGATATTTGTTGGCGACTTCACATTTCACGTCGGATGGCAGGTAGGCCTTGTTGGCGTCGAATTCCTCCAGCATCCCCGTCGGTCCAAGCTACAACGTATGATTGTTGTAAACTCGGAAGCGTACGTAGTCTCCCAACGGACCCCTAACATTTGTATGTCGGCCTTTATGCTACAGGGACGTAAAGTATACCAAAATGTTCGTCTTGGATCTGGCGAGTAAAAATACATTAAATTCCAGTCGAAAAAGTTACGGAAGCTATGACTAGATTGGCGGGCGAGTGAACTTAACCATACCTTCTCCATATGCTGGACAAACTTGTCGAGGGCTGCAACGACTTCGGGGGCAAGCTTGGGCGGCGGGGCCCGCTTTTGCTGTTCGCAGGAGCCGGCGGTTCTCTTGCCACTGCGTCCCGACGCTCGCTGGCTTGGCCCATGGTGTTGCGTCTCGTCATCTCCGCCCGTCTCCGCCGACATGCGCTGTCGATGTTTGACGGCTTTCTGCGACTTGCCCTTCGATTCTGCAGCATCGTTCTTCTCGGTCTGGTTCACGGAGCTGGAAAAGATGGTAAGGGAGCGCGAACTTCAAAGGCTAAACTCTATATCTCGCTACCTAGATACAAACAAAAACCCACGATTTATTGCGCAGCACGCGCTTTGTACCCGGACTTGGTGGGGCCATGTAAAACGTTAATAGAAATTGAGCGTATAAAAGGCGAATATGCGGAATAATGTCTTTGGCGGCAGAGCGATTGTTTATGTTCCAGGAACCCAGGCAAATCAGCTTCCGCTTTTGACAGACCGGATATGCCAGTTGGCCAAAAGGGAAAGTGTGTACACTGGCAGGGTCTTGCTGTGTATTGAGGTTTTGCTCAAGCGATTTCTTAGTTTTATTACAAATGCCGTTTATTTCGGCGGGATCAACCACGCCGGGGCAGAGTTTCGTGGTTATTTGCATCGGCCGCACGTCTTCGGGCACTGCTCGGTCATCAGTTCGTAGTAGTCCTGTAAAATACAGTTCGTCTTTTCCGAAGAAATGGGATACCGGGTTATTACAGTAGTTTGCCATACGCGGGCAGTCCGAGTAGCCGGTCAGCGGGTTGATCTTGTCAACGCATTGTCCAGGTTCTAGAATTTGGGTAGACTTCGAAAAGTTCGAAAAAGTAGAAATCCTCATTGAATTTTTGATGTTAGAATTGAGTTTTTTTTGGTTTAAATTCATTCTCAAGATTTATTCTCAAACCCACGTAGTGTTGTGCCAGCCCCACACAGACCGCACGTCTTCGGGCATTGGTCAGCCATCACGTCTTTGTAGGCCTAAAAACGCTGATTTTTCCCGAAAAATTGTTTTTACCGGATTGTTGCAGTAGTTGGCCATTTTCGGGCAATCCGACACGCCGGTTTGCGGGTTGACCTTGTCCTGGCACGAGGCGGTGACCGGCTTGTCGGTGGGGTACAGCGTCGTCCCATCTGGGCGGGAGCTGCTCAGTTTACAAGCTATTTAATACCGGAGTGCACATCATGGAAGTTGCAGCAGCTGACATTGTCGAAGCACACGGCATCCTGGTCGCATCCCAGCTCGCAGGCTAAACAACATGAAACACTACCGGTAAACCTACGGCCCGTCGGCTTGTCGCAGGTGAGGGTGGCGTAGATCGCGCCGCAGAGGGCAACGGCTAGGATAAACCTGAGCATCCGGACCGGTTTCGTGAGTCCATTCGGATAAGGGGCGCTTTTAAAACATCGGCTCATTGAATTTGCAAACGAGGGCCCGACTTCGGCCAGGCGCGCGCCCCCAAAAAGTGCCGTTGGCCGGTGTGTACACAGCCGGCCGCTGATTAGCATATTCGGAGACCAGTCAGGTGTCGCGCCAAAATTCACGCAATTTTATCTGAGCACTTTCAACATCAACCAGCAGTGAATTGTGAGATCGCCAAAAAGAGACCGGATCAGTGATGATCGAATAAAAGACAATAAATGAGCAAATGGGCAGGGGGAGGGGTAGAAGCGCTGAGCGTTGCCGGGCAGTATCACAGTTCGAAAACGAATGCGTGGAGAAGCACAAAAGTGCGCGAAAATTAAATACAAAAAACTATGTATTTAATTGGTGTGCAGAAGACGACTGCTGGTGACGCCGGTATCGGCCACGACGATGAGTCGCATCTCGGATTCGTTGACTCGAATGGCGCGGATGGCCGCCACTTGGCCGAATTCGGGGATCGTCTGGTAGATCTAAAAACGGAAATCAGTCGTTTTATAGCGGAAATCTCACGTCTGGGCGTCTACCGCTCCAATCGTGAACGGCGATCCGCTTCAGGTCCGTCTCGTACATCACCGACACATCAGAGTCGGCAAAACGGAAGAGGCACGGCGAGATCAGGTAGGGAAGGCTCAGCGACTTCGTGGAGAAGCGGCCGACTTCGACGCATTTGAGCTGAAACTTTGGATATTTGGCAGTCGATTTCCAGGCGCAGTTACGAAAATACTCTTGGAAAATTACTTTTTCGATTTTTCAAAATCCATTTTTTTCGAGGTTAAATATTGGAAGCCAAAAATTTTCGAAAAACTTTTTCTAAAAATCAGAATCTTCACAAATTTTTGCCTAGCTACCGCCGTGAAAAGACGAAGGCATCAAAATCAAAATCTTTTGAAATTCTAGTTTTTAAAAATATGCTCTTTGAAAAAATTATTTCCCCAGCCTGAAAAGTAACTTCAGCAGCATTTTTCACTTTTCCAATCCCAATATTTCAGGTTCCCAAATTAGTGCCCCCCAAATCAACAGTCCTTTGTTTTGAAAAAGGCACTACCAATTCCGGTCTCTGTTTCTCCTCTAGCCCGTTCCCCAGCAACTAACTAACTGACAGCTGACCTAGGGAAACCAGAAAAGCGAGAGCTGTGCGCGCGGGGAAAACGGGGGTAAAGTCAGCAGCAATAACTGTCAATGAATTTGCGAACGCCAATGACAACGCCGTCGGGTGCGCGAACCATATAAAAGGGCCGCGCGTGCCCATTGTGGCACCACCAACCGGCAGACATGGAGGACGAAATTAAGATTAGGGTGTATCGCTTCGTCGCGTATTCGGGGGTGTTTTTCTCCCTGGTGGCTGTCATGTCCATCTTCGCCACCTTACCCATGGTATATTCTATTTGCTAATGGAACGCCTAAAAATTCAGATTGCCTAAATTCAGAATTCATAAATTTAATAATGTCTAAATTTCAAACTATAAGCTTATGCGTTATGAAATTTAGAAATTCGGCGTTTTGGCATTCTGAATTTACGCATTGTCTAAATATTCCGTTAACGCTTCTAAATCCCGTTTAGGTGTACGAATACGTGCACCAGGTGAAGCGTGACATCAACTTCGCCGTCAACGACTGCAAGACGACGGCAAAGGACATCTGGAGCGACGTGAACACCCTTGGAGAGATGCCGCACAACCGCACGGCACGCCAGTCCTACAACCAAGGGCCCAGCGGAGGCGGCGGCGGTGGCAGCAGCTACAGCGGCCCGTCGGCAGCCGTGTCTGGAGGAGCCGCTCAATCTTCTGGAGGTGGGCCATTTGAAGCCGGTGCTTTGTTATTATCGGGGAGGGGGCAGGTCTCATCCGAAAATACAGGTATATCGACAATCGACCTATCGTAAATTTAGGCGGCAGCTGTGGACCATGCTGCAAACCTGGACCTCCCGGACCATCTGGATCTCCCGGAAAGCCTGGACGCCCTGGAAAGCACGGCGCCCCCGGAATGCACGGCACGCCCGGAAAGTCTGGCAGCGCCCCCTGCGAGCCCCTCACCCCACCGCCATGCCAGCCTTGCCCTCCAGGGCCCCCTGGACCTCCCGGACCCGCCGGACCGGCTGGACCCGGTGGAAACGATGGTGCCCCGGGAGGCCCCGGATCTCAGGGACCCCCTGGACCCCCAGGACCCGCCGGTCAACCCGGACAGCCCGGAAACCCCGGACAGGATGGACAGCCTGGTGGACCCGGACAGCCTGGAGCTTCTCAGGTAAGCAATCATCCCACTATCATTCCGTCAAATCATATGTCTCAGACGGTTTAAACCCCGATTTAAAATAAAAAATAGTTTTGCAATACAGGACTCTGGACCTGGCGCGCCCGGACCGGCCGGACCTCCCGGACCTGCTGGGCCACCCGGACAAGACGGACAGAGCTCGCAGGGAGGGCAAGGAGCCCCTGGACCGGCTGGACCTCCTGGCCCTGCTGGACCCCCCGGTTCCGACGGAAACCCTGGATCCCCAGGACAGCCCGGAAACGATGGAGGAGCCGGAGAGAAAGGTGGGCTAGTCGCTTCCAGGGTCAATGCGACTTCTAGGTATCTGCCCCAAATACTGCGCTATCGACGGCGGCATCTTCTTCGAGGACGGCACCCGGCGTCGCTAAGGAAATCGGGGAAACCTATCTGTATATCGATGCGGATAAACGAATGCATAAAAATATAGAACCCCGAATTTTCAGCAACACGAGATAGTTAAAAAAAATGCCGTACCGTAGGTCCTTCCTCTCGGATGTGGTAGAGGCGGTGCTCAATCGGACGCTGTCCATCCCCATCGGGGAGCACAACAAGGATCTTCTGGCTGCTCGGATCAGAGGCGACGGCACTTATTTTTTGGAAATTATCTAGGCGAAAAGGTCAAAACGAAATATGTGAAATTACCTTTGGCATTGTCCAAGAGGGGGATCGTGGCTCCACGATAATAGCCAAGTACCCTACGCATCGATCCGATGAGCAGCAGAGAGAACTTGTCAAAATAGCTAAAAGAAATTAAATTACTCATGAATTCAATAAGATTCCGACCTCAAATGATGGATAGGAAAAGGTCCATCACCACCGGTCAAATCAACTGGACGCTGGTCAGAGGCGGCGGTGACGTCGTATTTGAAGACCCGGCCGTTTCGAAGACCAATGGCGCACTAAAGGAAGACTTTCATAATTTGAAGGAAAAGTAAAACCTCGGTGTCGCTCAGCCAACAACAGGTCCAGCCTGGTGTATCGAGCCGGAATGTCTTCACCTTCTGGCTTGTCTGTAAGTCGTAGATGACCGCCGTGTTGTCCTCGCCGACTAAAAGGAAAGAATTACTCAGGCCAAAAAAAATACCTGACAAAAGACGAGTCGTTAGAGAGGGACAGATGGCGAATTGGCGAATTTTGCCCGTATGTAACGGGCTATTCGGACCTCTTTTCAGTCGCATGTCTAGCTAAATTAAAAATGTAATGCAACAGAATGCTGAAGTCCATACTATTTGCAGTGAGTATCCGGAGAAGAGCGCCCCTTTCCTGTTGTAGCCGATGTAGACAAATTGATCTACAAGAAAAGAAAAATGATAATCTTCTTCCCACAAACCGTCAAAATCGATCGCACGGCAACCATCGCAAGACATTGCCAACTTGTTGCCCACGGCCAGCTTGAATTTGTAGACCTGGAAGGCCGTGACGGCCGCCGCAGAAGGAGCTTTCGTCAATCTGGCACAAATATTTAACAGTACAAAAAAAAACCCTTACTTTTCCTCTAATTCACGAATCGTGTTGAGATGCCGGGCGACGTCAAGCTCTAATGAAGTGACCATGCGTTTGTATTCATCCCGAGATTTCTTGGTCGACTCCAGCTCGCTGTTGTCTGTTATCTGGAGCAAATTTCCATCACAACCATCTTGAAACGCCAACCTGCACCGTTCGAGCATAGTGCGTGCGAATATCCTTGATGCCCGCTTTGGCTTTGCATTGCGGGCAATGTGGCGCTTTCTCTCCTAAGACGAAATAGAATGGCGAGATTTTGGTTACCTCGTATCCATCGCTCGATACAGCTCTTTCCATAGAAATGACCGCATTTCAGCGAGACCAGGCGGTGATCCCCGTTTGTGGTGTAGCTCTAAACATTTGGATAATTTTAAATAATTGTAGTACGTCAAAGCAAATCGTGCATCCATCGTCGCCATCGCCATCATCGAAGACTTCCACCTTGGCTAAAACGGTTCTGTATTTTAGTATTGACAGGCTGGATCTACCTTTCTTGGGCGACTCGGTTTTTGCACGTTTCGGGGGTCTAGGGCCATCATCGGAGTGGACACTTTCATCATCCGACACGATCACCACCCGGGCCGGGGCTTCACCTGATGATGTCGACGCATTAACGTCTTCTCGCACATCGCTATCGTCCTAATAAAAATATTGATTACAAAAAAAAATTAAATACGTTTGCTAGAGTGTCGTCGAGCACCGCGCGACGCCGTGGACTCTGCATCACGTAATCATCAAGTGATGCCCTAAATCTCAAATTCTGAAGACAAGTGTGCAAAACCCACTCGATAACGGCAGCCAAGACACTATCGGCCGCGGTGTCATCGTCAAGGTCAAGCACATCATCATTGTCGCCTAAATCAAAATAAAACTAATAACACGACCATACTGATAAAGCTATCATCTTCAGAACTGCCGCCCGGACTCAACTCGTCATCTTCATCTCCCGAAAAGATTTCCATAATCTATTCGTGGCGTATTTCAAACTAGAAAGAATATTACGTCAGAATCATCAGCGAGCTGATTGTTGGGCGCACGGGCGCTTCGACGAGTTGGTGGAGGGTGGTTCTAACGACAAATTTTAAAACTTGCACCAATCCTCACCGGCGCGTTGATTCGCCTGGCTTCTTCGGCGGCCGCACGTCGTGGACGCGGCATTCGGCAGCTGCAAAATTTACTTGAGATCAGTCAATAACGATGGAAAGCGCGGGGAAGGGAAAATCAACAAGAATGAATCGAAAATCAACAGCAACAACGAAACCAGCCTGTACACAATCAAAAACTAGAATTAATGAGCTACAAATCAGGCGACAATTTTCAATTGGTCGCCCTTGTATGCCAGTGCCTGATCGATTGCACCGAAACCTTCATCGCCGAGACGAGCTTGGAGTCGTTGGCGCAGCTTATCGACTGTCAACAATCTATTCCCTCCATGCGTGCGCTCATAGGTCAATCCTTCCTCGTTTGAATAAATGCAATCGTCCAATTTCTTGACATGGATCAGCACTATCACGGTTGAAGCACCCAGATGGAGGGCATCGCGACAAGGCTTGCAGCTGCCGTGGAGTATGTGGACCGTTTGCTCGGGATACGGCAAAATCTCCATGTTACGCAGCTCGTCATCACTAAAGCGGCCAGTAGCAGGGACGACTGGGAAGATCTCGACAGTGATAGCTCCATCGGCGGGTCGCGGGTTGAACCTCTTCATAGTGGCGTCCAAGGACAGCAACAGGTGGTCCAACAACATTCCGTTCATCAGCGTGCCTCGGAAGAATCCCTAAAAAGGAGTTTGCTAGGGCGCCTCAAACAAACCTTGTCGTCGATCCCCACATAGATTTTGCCGCCAGCCGTGTTCAGGAAGGCGCATATCGTCTTGGAAAGCGGCTGACGCGTGCGTACCACCTTGCCCTTGTCGATCATCTCGCAATGGTGCGGCAACTCGTCGATGGAAACCGTGGTGTGCATCTTGAACTCGGTGACGCGGTTTTCATGCAGAAGCGAGCATTTTGCATCGCGAATGACGGGCTTCGGTCGCCACATAGTTCTGAAACGGAGGCCATCTTGGTAGTGTTTCTAAGCAGCTGGGGGTCCGACCACCCACCCCGCATCACAAAGTACACTTTTGAACGCGCGCCTTTCCTGTTACCACAGGTCGGCCAATCATAGTAACATTGAGGAAAGAATGCAGCTAGGGACTAAAGCAGATTACCGCATCCGCGCTGAAGAGCAGATTCTGTCGCTTTCAATAATTCTACAAACTTATAAGTTCATTGTAAATATCCACTGTAATAAACGTTATTAAAGAGCGTTGTGTAGGTCGTAAGCATTTATTAAAAATTCACAAGCTTCATTGGCAACGTTCCATTGGCTCATCCCTGCGTCAAGCGCTGACGTAGCGCTTGGATCTGTTGATCGAGTTGCTCCTTCAGCTGTAACGAAAAGGCAATTCAGGTATATGAGTTCTCACTGACCTCTACATCGCCTTTGTTCTTGAAGGAGGCGACAACCAACTTCTGCGCGGATAGAAGAAGGTCGTAGATCTCCACATCGATCAGAGTGGCAAGGTGGGAGACGAGCTGCGCGACAAATTTTCCGGAAGCATGTACAGCGATTCCATCTTTTGCGTAAAGATACAGCACCTAAAACCATATCATCATAGAAAAATCTTAGGCTACCGATGAGAGCAGCGCAGCAGCGGGATCGGATTGTTCGTTGACCTGGGCCAACAGCTGAGTCGCGTACACGTTTGTGAGTTCCTCCCTAACAAATGCGCCTTGATGTTTGTTTCGAAATACACCGACCTCGTCTTTTTATCCGGATTCTTGATTCCAAGCTGAAGTACACTTGGCGCGCACAAGTCGAACAAAGCATTGTTGAAGTTCTGCAAAAAAATCAGGCAGGCATGAAAAACCAACCTGCAGATCGTCCTCGCGTAGGCTTGCGTACAGCGCAACTATTGCGTCTTTGATCCGCGAGGGCAGGGCTTCAATGGTCTCTTCTCGTTGCTGAAACAAAACTACTGCTGGTGCAAAACCTACATACCTTCTCTTTCATTTGCCCGACATTTCCGGTGTCGCTAGCAAAGCCAAGCAGCGCATGAGCCAGCTCGGTGCAAAGCGTCTTTTGCAAGTAGGCACGCAGATCGTCACGAATATTGTCTACAGTTTTTTTATGAAGAATAACCACGAGGAGGAGCCGCCTCGCCCCTCCCCCCCCCCGCCCCCCCCCCCCCCCCCAAAAAAAGGCCCCCCCCCCCAAAAAAAAAAAAAAACCCCCCCAAAAACAAAAAAAAAAAAAAAAAAAAAAAAAAAAAAACCACCCCCCCCCCCCCAAAAAAAACCAAAACCACCAAAAAAAAAAAAAAAAAAAAAAAAAATTTAAAAAAAAAAAAAAAAAAAAAAAAAAAAACAAAAACAAAAACCAAACACACCCGGGGGACAAAAAACCAAAAAAAAAAAAAAAAAAAAAAAAAAAAACGAAATCCCGGGTTTTTTCCCATTCCCCAACCAAACCAAAAAAAAAAAAAAAAAAAAAAAAAAAAAAAAAAAAAAAATAAAAAAAAAAAAAAAAACCCCCAAAAAACAAAAAAAAAAAAAAAAAAAAAAAAAAAAAAAAAAAAAAAAAAAAAAAAAAAAAAAAAAAAAAAAAAAAAAAAAAAAAAAAAAAAAAAAAAAAAAAAAAAAAAAAAAAAAAAAAAGAAAAAAAAAAAAAAAAAAAAAAAAAAAAAAAAAAAAAAAAAAACAAAAAAAAAAAAAAAAAAAAAAAAAAAAAAAAAAAAAAAAAAGGGAATAACGAGGAAGAAACAAACCGGGAATTTTCTCTAACCCAGTCTCAAACAAGGAAATGTTGGCGTAGAGCTGAT